AAGACAAATAATGTCATTGATAATTGGCAAATCAACACTTATTTTTAAATGGGTATAACCCGCTCTTGCTCTAATAACATCTTTTACTCGATTAGGCATATATCTAATCAAGTTCGCTATTGTTTCTTGTGGAATGTTGAACCACTCTTCCTCTACTGCAACAATGACAATGACAACTATAAAACATAAACAAAAAATAAAAAGCATTAACATTTATCAAGCTTAGGGTCAAATAGTTTCCCAATCAATGTAACGATTTTAAAAATTGTCAAATCAAGGGCGATAACGCTTTTTCAAAGCAAGGTAACTTTCAATTCGTTAAATATTAACATTTATATCATAACAAATTAATGGGATATTTCTACAATTTTTTTAATTTTTAAATGGTCTTTGGAATTAGCGGTTTTACACGCTTTCCTTAAATTTGGTCTAAAAATACAAAATAACATTAATTAAATGAGTGCTAAAGTTAAAGTTAATCGGCAAATTAGAAAAAAAGTTTTAAAGAAAATTCATTGTACCTTGCCATTTGGTTTTTAAGAAATACTGTATGAACTTTAGTACTATTTACAAATCCTCTGGATTCCTCCTGCGTCAGTTATTGATAAATAGAACTTACTAACGTTTCGCCTTTATACCTGCGTTTATATCGTTTGAGGGGGCGTAGCTAAATGAGGGGCATGAACATTTTCTCGGATGACTGATTCCCATATTGGTGACAGTCGCGGTTAAGATGAGTTTATTTCTCGTATTCTTAAGGCGCTTTCATGTTTTTTAAGCCTCGTTGATATTTGTAAACTCCTGGTATCTCAAACGGAATTTGGTCATTGACGGATCGAAGATGTTGAGAGATTTTTAGATAAGTGGTAAAGCTGTTTTGACGCTATATTTCTTAAGAACTCACTTTTTTTTTCATTAAGTTCTAACTTGAGCACTTACTAATGGGTACGCTAAAGCAAATAAGAATAACCGTGATAGTGTAATGGTGACATACTCCTCTAATTTCTTAACAAAATAACTCACCGCTTATTACGTAGTGGAAAAATATTTCAATGAAAAATAAAAAGGAAACCATTTAAATGTAGAATACAGGTGAACAGACAAAAGTGAAAAGTAATTTCAGTAACAAATAAATAATAAAGCCAAAAATTGCATAGAACACATGGGATTTTCTGTTGTTTGGCGCATCGATGAAAAAAATGTGGACATTACACAAATTTCATAAAATGTTGGGCCCTAAAAAAATACAACTAGGAACGAATTCTATTACATTGCAAAAGTTTTTTTATAATTTTAAATAACAACACTCTTTTAAATTATATACTATAATTATGGCAGTGTATATCAAAATTGAAAATTAACTTGTGTATGGTATACTTGAAATAAGAAAGAAGTTGGAACCTATTCAGGGGATTTTATTTTAAAAAGTATAGTGCGTCACCTGATGCTTATAATATAAATATATTTTTTTCTTTTGTAGTAATGTTTTTCGCAAAGTTGATAATTTTCATGTAACGCTTCGACAGTTTTGTCCAAAAAATTGTCTTTTTTGCAGTCTTATTTATTATTACCTAGTTAAATGTTTTAATTAAATTATTTGAATAAATACAAATTAATTAATTCAAGCAAATTAATTAAAACAAAAAGTATTTGACCCTAAGTATATATTTTATTTCTAGCATTTTTATATATTTTATGTGTCCGTTGTGGCAGGACAGTTACATAAAAAAATTCTATGAATACTTTTAAAATTAGCTTGATTTTAAATATTTTTTGTCATTATGTATGAATTGTTCCATTTTTTTGCAGGAAAACAGGTCTTTGGAAAAATATGTTTTTCACACTTGAAAACTAAAATTGAGAATTTTTATTATGGATCCATGGAAGTTCTTAATTTTAAATGGTCTTTGGAATTAACGGTTTTACACGCTTTCCTTAAATTTGGTCTAAAAATACAAAATAACATTAGTTAGTTAAAGTTAATCGGCAAATTAGAAAAAAAGTTTTAAAGAAAATTCATTGTACTGACTGATTCCCATATTGGTGACAGTCGCGGTTAAGATGAGTTTATTTCTCGTATTCTTAAGGCGCTTTCATGTTTTTTAAGCCTCGTTGATATTTGCCGCATATGCATGGAATGCTGTAAACTCCTGGTATCTCAAACGGAATTTGGTCATTGACGGATCGAAGATGTTGAGAGATTTTTAGATAAGTGGTAAAGCTGTTTTGACGTTATATTTCTTAAGAACTTTTGATATATGGTCAGTGATGTTTTGAATATAAGGAAGGACAACAGTGGCAAGTGTGGGGTTGATTTCGGACGCCTTGTCTTTGGAAGATTGTGGTAAAGTGTATTTTCCGACGGAACACTCAATATCTAATGAGGAAGTTATTAGACAGAAGAGTAAATGTAATTTGTTTGAATTCGGTGTTCAGGGACTCGGGTTGATATAGTTTTGCGGCTCTTTAAACAAGAGAGTTCATAACCGATGATTTTTGACAGGATAGTGATATGTATTGGTCTGTGTGCACAAGTTTTCTGTATCATGCATATGCGGCAAGGAATATATTGGAGAAATCGAAGAATAACATGAAATAGCCTTACGACTACAACAAATAAACTCATCAGCTGTTGCCGAACACAATCGCGAAACCGGACATGAAATTTTATTTGGTAAAACTAAAAGTCTTGCATGTAATCAATTTTTCTACCAACGAAAAATCCGAGAATCAATAGAAATCTATAAGCATCCAAGCAATTTCAACCGCGATTCAGGTCTTTACCTTTCACCGCTCCCCTCAAACAATATACAGGGAGTTAAAAAGTACGCTGCCAAACTTTCAGAAACGATTCCTTGCGTGATTTTAAGACAAAAAATTCATATAAACAAAAATGAATGTTTTTCAAAAATTCTGGGTGTTAGCATTTTCTAAAAAATGTGTTTTCCCTTTTATAATTTTTATATCACTTTCGATATTTTTATCAAATTTGGTAATCATCTTTTAATTATTGAGAGGCGGTTTTTGACACAAAAACTTTATTTTTATTTTTACCAGTGGCGTCCGTATGGGGTTTGAACTGAATATTTTTAAAGAAAAAATGGCACTTCACTTCTTTTTCGGAAAACAAAAATTATTTTTAAAATCCCCATTCAAGTTGGAGCAAATTTGGTGCATGAACTTGCTTTCGCACGACGCACGGTTTTCGCTAAAAAAAATAAATAACCTCTATAAGCCAAATGCAATTTTGCAATGTTAATTTTTATGTAAAGTCCGCTCTATTTGAAAGTTGGCACGTGTAATGCTATGACTAGTGCTCATAAAAAGAAATTAGTATAATTTGTAATAATCTAGTGATTCTTTTTTTACTGTGATGTGTTTTTTTATCTCCCGTACTTGTTTTGCGACGACACTTATGATTTCCAATTAGCATTCACGCGGTCCTTTTTAGCTTTTTTTTATTTATTAAAACTTGCTACTACATCATAATTTTTAAATGCCCTTTTTTTTTAAACTAGCAATTTAATAGGAAAATTTAAGAAGTTTTTAAGAGATTATTTCAAAAATATTTGTTTGTTTTGGTAAAAATAGTTCAATTCACAAATCGTGAAATGGCAGATATACGCCTGGTGTATGGAATGGCTCATGGTAATTCTCGCGCCGCAAGACGTATGTATCAAGAAAGATAGAAGACTCTTGTATAGTTATTTTAGAAAGGGTTCGCCAGTCCCTAATAGTTGCTCTAATTTATTTTTTTATGGGAGAGTATTGTTTGTTTACAGTTATTTAATATTATTTAATAGTAAACGTCTTCCTGTTAGTTGTTCATTTTTTGTATTTATTTATTTTTTTAAGCGAAAACCGTACGTCGTATGAAAGCAAGTTCATGCACCAAATTTGCTCCAAATTGAGTGGGGATTTAAAAAATCTTTTTTGTTTTCATTTTTTGTTTAAAAATATTCAGTCCAAACCCCGTACGGACGCCACTGGTAAAAATAAAACTAAAGTTTTTGTTTCAGAAACCGCCTCTCAATAAATAAAAGATGGACACCAAATTTTATAAAAATATCGAAAATGATATAAAAGTTATAACAGGAAAATCTATTTTTTTGGAAAATTGTAACACCATTTTTAATTGGAATCACAGCATCCTGTGGAAGTTTCTTTAAAAAATTAATAACGTTCCGTGTTTTGCGATAGTCAATGTTTAAATTATGTGTGAATTGATAAAAATAACCTTAGTTTTGTTTCAACTTTGTTGGCTATTGCCGTTGACAATAATTATAACGATATAACCTACTACTAAGTGCGCTAGAAATTTAAAATTTGATTGACTATTAAAAGTCCAACAAAGATAGCCAGCCATTTAAAGAAATTTCCTAATTTTAAATACTCAAAATTTGGCATTTGTTGTTGTATATTTTTGCCATAGACTGTAACTGACTTTGTAAATGTGCATTGTAACTCTGACTATAATAAAAGTCAACCTTGCCCTGCTTCTTTATGATCTCGAAGGCTACATTGACCCTCCAAAACATGTTATTTTAGAAAGGTCTAGACTATTTTTTGAAAAAATGCTTTTTCATCAAATTGGTGCTGAGAGGGATAAAGTTATTTCCTCCACGTTGAAAGATGGCATATGGTATTTGTCTTTAATTTATTCTCTTCAATACTTTTTAATATTAATTTCTTGAATCAGCTATTTTGAGATCACAACTTCCGGATTCCCTGTGTATTATGAGCGGCTATCTCTTAAACGTAAGAAAATTATATTTCAAATTTTTGGTGAAAAATCCCGCAGTCCTTATTCAACACTCCCTCAGTTTAGCGTACTTCCATTCCATTCAAAAATAAAATTAGACTTGGTCAACGTTCCCGTGAAAATGTACTCGTTTTATTGAAAACCTTTTAGCCGGTGTTACGTTTTCCCTTGTACTTTCCGATGCAGTGCGAGGAATAATGTGTTTATACGGAGATTTAACGGCTTTGATGTTTCGCAGAAAGTGGTGGCACAGCGAAGACCTGAATCCGGCAGTTTTGTGGTTTCGCAATCGGAAGCAGGAAAACGAATACCGGAGCCAGCCCGATCCTGAATTTCGATGCTACATAACCTGCACGTCCGTGATATTCATCGCGATGTGCGCAATGCAGATTACCACCCTGCCCAGGTAAGATTTTTGAATAATACACTGGTGTACAGGCGAAGCGAATAAAAAACATTCAACAAAATGAGCGAACAAAATAAAGCAAAGATATTCAAGTTATTTTCCAAAAGGTTATTTCTTCAGACTATGACTTTTAAGTTGGCAACGCGCCGCAGTGAAATTTGTCAGAACCATAGAACAACCCCAAAGAAACAAAATAATGCCACACTTTTAGGCTCAAAGTAAGTTATAAGTGACGCTTCACATACTCTGGAAAAATATTTAATGCTTTTATGGAATAAATAATTCTTACATACCTCCCAGATGACTGTCCCAGTGCCCAAAAAGCTGGTAGTAAATAATATTTCAATTTACCATAGTATATGCATTGTTAAAAATGATCACAAATAGAAAATTCACTTTTGAGTACTTACTAATGGGTACGCTAAAGCAAATAAGAATAACCGTGATAGTGTAATGGTGACATACTCCTTCAATTTCTTAAAAAATAACTCACCGCTTATTATGTAGTGGAAAAATATTTCAATGAAAAATAAAAAGGAAACCATTTAAATGTAGAATACAGGGGAACAGACACCAGTGAAAAGTAAATTCAGTAACAAATAAATAATAAAGCCAAAAATTGCATAGAACACATGGGATTTTCTGTTGTTTGGCGCATCGATGAAAAAAATGTGGACGTTACACAAATTTCATAAAATGTTGGGCCCTAAAAAAATGCAACTATTAACGAATTCTATTACATTGCAAAAGTTTTTTTATAATTTTAAATAACAACACTCTTTTAAATTATATGCTATAATTATGGCAGTGTATATCAAAATTGAAAATTAACTTGTGTATGGTATACTTGAAATAAGAAAGAAGTTGGAGCCTATTCAGGGGATTTTATTTTAAAAACTATAGTGCGTCACCTGATGCTTATAATGTAAATATATTTTTTTCTTTTGTGGTAATGTTTTTCGCAAAGTTGATAATTTTCATGTAACGCTTCGACAGTTTTGTCCAAAAAATTGTCTTTTTTGCAGTCTTATTTATTATTACCTAGTTAAATGTTTTAATTAAATTATTTGAATAAATACAAATTAATTAATTCAAGCAAATTAATTAAAACAAAAAGTATTTGACCCTAAGTATATATTTTATTTCTAACATTTTTATATATTTTATGTGTCCGTTGTGGCAGGACAGTTACATGAAAAAATTCTATGAATACTTTTAAAATTAGCTTGATTTTAAATATTTTTTGTCATTATGTATGAACTGTTCCATTTTTTTGCAGGAAAACAGGTCTTTGGAATTATATGTTTTTCAAACTGGAAACTAAAATTGAGAATTTTTATTATGGATGGTCACAAAGAAATGTTTTTTCTAATTAAAATAACCCTTTTTTTAAGGAACACCTTCCATTTACCGTTTTTAATGGGTTTGGGACTTGATTCTGTATCATTTCAAATATTTAGCTTTTATTACAAAAATTGATAATAAAAGTTATGACCAGTTTTTTGCAAGAACTCATATATTTTATTTTAAATCTAACTACACCTATATAATATCCTATTCAAACTCCTTTTTTTAACATTAATTACGTAAATTTAATGAAACATTAACAAGTAGTGCAAATAAATAGAACTGATTACTAACTACAAAACATTTTCTAAATAACAATACAAGTAGTATGTATGGTTTCACACTTGAACACTGTTATATCTATTTTTATACACCTCACGGCTCCCCGCTGGACCAATCCAAAATAAAAACATTGATTTCAACCATTTCTAAAAGGCATAAAAAAATCCCTTCTTACCATTCAGAACAAAGACCTAAAATATTAGAACTATTATTCCATCACGTATGATGCCACACCACACATAAACACTTCTCCGAGCCTGTTTAGTAATTTGCTACTCCCTTCTGTAAAATACCTAATTATACACCGATCACCGAAAATCGTCACTTTATCACTTGAGTTTCGTTTCCCACGGATCCAAACCACTTCGGACATTTTCGGGATATTACCGCACGGGTTTGAGAGCAATCGGATGTCCTCGAAGATTTTACCGCACGGCTTGAACTTTGACGTTCCTCAATTCTGACGGTCATATCAGGGAATGTATTCAGGTTGTTTTGCAAAAATCTTGCCAAAAACTAACGATCCTAGAAAAAGTATAGTATGCATCACGTTTGGTAAACTTTATAACTCACTCGTTTATTAAACACTCGCTCCGCTCGTGCCGTTTACCGCGCTTGTTGCCATATTACATACCATATTACTATATCTGTCTTAGTCGGACAAAGATTCAGCTTGGAACACAGTAGGATAAACTACACATTTTGCGAATCACTCACGAATAGGAGGATATCAAAAGGAGCATTTAAACTAAATTAAGATTTTATTTTTATTTATTATTATTTATTTTAAAAACAAAACAGAATAATAAAAAAATACAACCAAAATTATTTTAAAATGTTATAATAAAACCTCCCAAACGTGTACAATGGCCGACCTGTCAAACTGCCGATCTCTCGGTTCTCTATTGTTTAGTAGTAGGCGCCAAAGCCGACTGGCACAACTGCCATAAAAATAGGGGCAGAAATTCCTTCGTCGTGGCTCCATAATTTTGCAGTATTAAACATGATTGTAAATGAATGTAAGTCCAGTTTATTACAGTCCATTATTTTGCAATCTCATCCATGTCGGAAATGTAAAAATTAACGATATGCATAACGTGCGTAGTTGGTTATTTTAAAATGGGGAATAGAGAGAATGGTAACTTCAGAAAGGAAAGGAAGAGAAAATAAAACAGAGCACAAATAAAATGTGCGCTTTCACTTCACACTTTCACAAAGCACCAGTGCAATATTTGAGATAAACCAAGTCAGCTGGACGAAGAAAATAAAATTCATGGCACAATCTCTTTCAAACAGTGCGTATTAATTTTGGTTTCAACCAATAAGCGACACGCTGTATTTTCCAAAATTATCATTTTATTCTCTGAGGCATAAAGCGCAATAAAGACGCATCGTTTGTTCCGGTCGAAATTTTATTCCGGCATTTGCATAATCATAATACATACGGGCTGCGTGGTCAACATAAAAAACATGGTAATTTAAATAAAATTATAGTAGAAATGTAAACGGTGTATTGCGACTGTCGCCGAATCAGCGGGACCGATATTTTCGAAACTTTTACTAAAACAGTGAAATAATGAATTTAATAAACAATTAATCTGGGGTTTAAATTATGCCGCAACTTAACCGGAATACTTAATTACTCGTCGCGTTTCAATCATTATTAAATCATAACATTTAATTGAACTCTTGACCGGGTTTTACAAGTACATTTTGTGCAAAAAATTATCGCTCAGTAGTAAGCTGCTCAGCTTCCTTTCTTTAACTTGATGAAAATTGACGCCGTTTATATTGCAATAAATTTAAACTTGCTCGAAGGTTTTTATTGATTATTTTGGTTGACCGGTCGATGCTCTTGTAATTCTGGCCTCTGGGCAAAGTATAAGTGCAGTTTTTTTTAATGTTGGCAAATGTGCCATTTTAGCGTCATTTAATTATGGGTACAGCTCATAAATACTGATCACGTACTTACTTGATGGTCTGCTAAAATAAAAGTCAATTGTCTAATACCATATTATAATGTAAAGGTACTCTTTAGAGCATTTTGGTATTAATGAATCAAACGAATTGAGTGGGTACGGTGGTTCGTTACTTGGTGGTGCTCATTATTTTCTGAGCATTTTCGGTTAGAATTGTCTTTTTGCCTTAAACGAAATAAAATAGTTAATATACATTTATGAACAATATCCAGTGCTTTGAGAAAATGGTAAATACAAAATTTTAAATATTATTAGGATGATGGAATTTGAATTGGATGCTATAAGGTGTTCAGAATAAACGAATATATTTGGATAATTTTCAATTGAAAAATCTCCATTCTACTAAATGGCACATCATATACAGGGTTATTCACAGTGAGTGTCCTATTAGACGTTTATTGAGAATGAGATACGGTGAAAACCTGATATGTTTGGTTACTTACGTAAGGAAATATTTTTGACCATGCACTATGGCCAGATATACTCGCAACGTATATCAACTTTGGTTTTTTAAATGGAACTCTCTGTATACTTACCATACCTATCTTGAACATAATCGGAGATAAAAAATACTTTTTGAGAAATTTGGTAACAAACAACTCTATATAAAATTTTTTTTTCGCAACCCGCGCAGCTATATTGGCACGTAAATGAGGCATTCATTTGTACCAGCTATGGTATAATTATTTTCTCTGGTTTTGGAGTTATATGCATCTGGCTAGCAGGCGCTGACCGGCCATGATGACGTTTTTTGTCATCAAATTTGACTTTGACATACATAAGCCTAATATTCCGTTATTATCGTTTTTAAATAAGTAACTGTGACAGTGAAAATGCAAGAAAATACATATGCCAACCAAAATTTAATATTCACAGTAACTGTTATACTCAAAACTAATGTTAAAGACTAACCAAATGGTCTTAAATTGTTTTTAATCACATACAACTAGATGTTAGGCTTGAAATGACCTCCATTTGCTCCGAGATGGCGTTCCAAATCTTATATTGTTCCAACTGTTGTTCCAATTAGTTGGCCATGCCAAAACTATTAAACAACAGGGCTGAACAGGAAGTTTGTTGAGTCGTAGATAAAGCAATCTACAGTAATTATCAAAATTTTTGTGAAAATAACGGTGAAATATTAAATTCACAGAAAAAATAAATGACGTTATACTTGGATACACATGTTTAGTTTTTGTCGTATATTTTCTTGGACGTTCCATAGCATAAACGTTATTATTTTCCTGCACGCGTTCCAAATAGGGGAATTCACATAAACACAATCTTTAAAATATCCCCATTTCTATAAGTAATGATTATTTAACGAATTTCTCGATGGTAATGCAGATGATGTTGAGGTAAATCATTCTGCAAAAAGTTCTATATGTAAGT